GTGATGCTGCTGCTGCTGCTGCTGCTGCGCTGCTGCTGCTGTTAGTAGTGGTGGTGATGGTAGTGGTGGTGGTGGTGGTGTTGCTGCTGTTGCTGCTGATGGTGGTGGTCGTGTGTATGTGTCTGTCTGTTCGCGCGCACGCGCGTGTGTGTGCGTGTGTGTGTCTGTGTGCGTGTGCGTGTGTGTGTGTGTGTATGTGTGTGTGTGTGTGTGTGTGTGCGCGTGTGTGCGTGCGTGCGCGTGTGTGCGTGAGTGCGCGTGTGCGTCTGCGTGTACCTGTACTGTGTACGTATGTGTTTATGTGCGGTGTCTCTGCTCGCAGTGAGCTGTAACGAGGAGACACTGGGAGGCATCCTGCAGCCGATAACACACGCCTGGGAGAGCGCAGCTGCACAGAAGTACGGAGCCTGGATGATGGACCCACTACCTCCCACCGGTGACGAGACTAAGATCTACGTGTTGGGTGGTTACACTAACGCCAGGGCTCTGTGGATGTACGGCAACTACGCAGACTTCGTTACACGCCGACGTAAGACCGTCATCACGCTGCCGACAGGCGTCGGCGGCACCGGTCACGTGATCTACAACGGAACTATCTACTATCCGCAGTACAACACGGCCAAGGTACGCGCGCGCCCTCTACAGTGCCGTGAGGCAGACGGAGCCGGGGAGGAGNGAGATCAGTAACGTGAGTTTTCTCTCGGGCTTCCGGCGCGAGCGCGCCGCACGCAACGGGGCGCGCGGTGTTGTGTGCGAAGTAGTGTGTCTGCGCATGTGCTGTGTGTGTTTGGATAGTAATGTATGGTGGTGGAATTCTACTCACAAGCACGGACAAATAGCAACGGTGTGTGTAGTTGTGCCTGGCGGCAGAGGCGTGAATTATGCTGTAGTCGTTTAGTGTGGTTGTCTGTAGATATGAGCAGGTAGCTAGAATTTGTACAGTCAGTGAGTTATATGATGAGAAAGTGTGTTGCAATAAATGTGTTGATGTCTAATGAATGAATCAATTGTATACATAGTAGAATGTTACCTGTAGTGAGTATAAGTGGCTTACGTATGGTCAGCATGGAACTGTGTTGTGGTCTAAACGTAGTGGTGACACTGATGTTGAGCATTGAATTGTTGAGATGAAGCAGTGAAAATAAGATATATGATGAGAATAAATACCATGTTGAGAAAATGTACTATGATGTGTGTTCTGGTAGCATAAATGTGATAACAGCTCGAGGAGGTGAATCAAGTTCTGTGTGTATGGAAACCATAAGTGGACCTTGCCTCTGATTCCACAAGCGTCCCAGACACGAAAATCTGTGCCTTGTCGTCCCAATTAGCTCTCAATCATCGATTCCAGAATCAACGTGCTGATAAGAAATACACATCGCTTGTGATATGGGTTTCAATTAGTTCTTGTTCGCCGTCCACGTCAGCCCGCAAGCAAGTGTACACTCGACTGTGAGCTCTATCGCCGCCAGTGAGGCTGTATACAGTCAGGAGACCTGGGAGGCATCCTACAGCCGATAACACACGGAATTTGGGAGAGCGCAGCTCGCAGCGAAGCAAGTACAGGAGCCATGGATGAATGACGCGCACTATCCTGTCCCACCGGTAATCGAGACGTAAGATACCTTACGTGTTGGGGTGGTCTACGCTACACGATCAAGGCTCTGAGTGGATGATAAACAGGCAACTACCAGACTCTCGTCACACGCCGAATAAGCACCGTCACTCACGCGCTGCGACAGGCCGTCGCCGGCACCGTCCCCGTGATCTTACAACGGAAAGCTGATCTAGCTACCGCAGTACACAACAACGGCCAAGGTAAATACGCGACGCGCCGCATACCTCTACAGTGACGTGAGGACAGACGGAGGAAGGGGATCGAAGGGATGTAGGGAGGAAGAAAACGAGGAGAGGTCAAGGGAAGGTGGGGAGTAAAGTCGAGGCTTTTATATATATGTATAATATTATTAATAATATATATATATAATTTAAAACCTATTAGTTCATAACGCCAGATGCTTACGCGTAGCTGTCTGAAAATCATATCCAACGCATCACATCAACTCCGTGTACGTCATGCGTACATCACACGACATCCCGGTTTTCTTCGCGTATCAAGGTTAATGCATTCGACATGAGGTTCAGCTGAAGCTTACAGCGACCGAGCACGCTCACGGGCGCCCCTCTATCAGAAACAAAGGGCAGTTTAGCTCAGTGCGTATGCGGACGACGACCTGGGCGCGATGAGAAAGGACTGTGGCCGTGCACACGACGAACCACGCCAACGAGGGCTATATAGGTCAGATCAGCAGACTGCATGCGCCCGTCACGACTGCAGGTAAACACAGTGTACGTTTACACTGCACGTAAAGCACAGGTGTCCGTTACAACTACAGGTAAACAGCAGGTGCTCCGTTACACACAGGTAAACCACAGAATGTCCGTTACACTACTACAGGTAAACAGCAGATGTCGCGTTACTACTACAGGAGTTAAATTCACAGAAGTGTCCGTTACACTGGCAGGTAACACAGATGTCCGTTACACTACAGTAATAAACAGGGTGTCCGTTGCAACATGCATGGTATAAGATTACAGGTGGTCGTTACACTACAGATTAAACACAGGTGTCCGTTACCTGCAGGTAAACACACGGTGTACCGTACAACTGGCAGTAAACACAGGTTCCGTTACACCTGCCAGGTAAAATCATCAGGTGTCCGTTACACTGCAGGTAAATCACAAGTGTCCGTATACATGTCCGAAACATCAGGTCGCCGTTACACTGCAGTAAACACAGGTTGTCCGTTACACTGCAAATAACAACAGGTGTCGCGTCACGGCAGAGAAGACAAAGAGACATCGCTGCTCTCTAAACACACACACGTGGCGCTAGCGGCAACACACAATCACTCACGCCGCGCAGCCACAGCGGTACACACTCACAGCGGCGCCGCCATAGCGCACACATATACACAGCACACCGCACAACACGTACCACGTACACCCCACGCGCGCGGAGACACACCACACACCAGCACCACAGCAAACACACACTACCACCGCACGCACACACACGCCGCACCACACACACCCACGCGGCGCGCACCCACACATCTCTCTCCCACTTCTCTCTCTCATACACGCTTACAACTTACATTCTCACCGTTTCCCGCAGGTCTCACAACACCTGGAAAACTAACGCTAAGAAGGCCAAGGTTGGAAACACGTTCTTCATCTGCGGCGTCATGTACTCGGTCGAGGCGCACACGATCCTGGATAACAGAGTCTCCTACAAGTACGACACGAACACGCAGGAGGGAGACCTCATATCCATCCCGTTCAGCATCAAGTACGGACTGCTAAATCAGATGCTCTATAATGCTCGGCATCGCGCCATCTTTGCCTGGGACAACGGACATCTCATCTCCTACCCCGTAGAATTCCAACCGTCACGTTAGGTTCGTCTGTGACGGATCCGCCTGGAGCGCTGCTCGCGTGGACGTTGTTGTTCGTGGCGCCCCCNCTGTGCTAGCATGCGCCCTCGACGCCGAGCCTGGTCATATGCATATGATCAGCCGTTTCGGGAGCCGGCTGGTATAAAAACCCGGTCCCCGAGTATGTCGAGCTAGAAATCACCTGTGGAGCCGGTAACCTATGTCGAATGAGCAGCAGACCTGACCTGTAACTATGAACAAGCGCTAGCCGCCATATAGTAGTGAGTAGCTGCATACGTGTGAGCCGACTCGTGTGCCGGAGAGGAGATAGTGTCCATGCATGTAGTTGGAGACGCCGAAACGCTCGCGAGACCATCGGCACGGTAGGCCCATCATAAATCCTAGACGCTCTACCCGCTCTGCTTGTTGCAGAATCCGCTGTAGGGCAGCCGCCGATCGCTATTTGTTGGGCGATGAATATCGATACCCGGTGTACGATCGACCTGCTTTAGCGTCCCGCGCGAATTGACTAAGTGGACGTCGCCGAGTTATCACGGCAGAACTGTCCTTCTCACGTCCCGTGCGGCGTGCCGACGCTCCCCCTCGCGTGTCTCGACAACATAGATCAAACATGGGACCGATCGTTGGCTACTACTGGCTCTCCCTTATACTCACCACAGCCCCGAAAACGTTGCGTATTTGACAATTTATTGCCCGTTACGAGCCGAGGGCTAAATCGCCAAACGTGCAATTATATTATATCCTAAATGCTATTTAAACCGAACGATACTCATTTTAGGGCAATTTACTCGCATATTATTAACTGAAAGCTATATGTCGTTTATCAAGATATTACAATCCTTTTTCTTTAAAGACCTCTAATGTCATCTATCAAGAAGACAGTCGCATACGTCTGTAGCGCCGTGGTCTGTAAGGAATGGTATAGAATTGCTCGGCGACTGTGATCGAGATAGAGCGCCCAATGGTGTAGCGCTCCACTTTTGAGAATGCGTCGCGCCGTCCCGGTTGTTCCATCATGAAAGCTGTACGTTGTAGACTGTGATAGATACTTCTCTTATTCAGATGATGTATAGATGGACCTATCGTCTATCAATATTGCGTGATTATCGTTGACCACCGCCATGAGAAACTTTTTATCGTAGCGTAATTTTTCAGCGGCGCCTCCTCACATAAACTCGAAACTCAGGATCCTAGAACTCAGAGGTTAGCGAACTCGCTTGTAGCGGGTACGCGCTATTGCAACCTATTCAGACCATGGGTTATCTCTGAAAAAAGAATAGAATGTTCTTTATATACTCCTCGCGTCGCCCCTCGCGACCCCTCTCGTAGCCCGGGCCGGGGTTTCCCGTCGGAAGTTCGTGTCTTTTTGCGCCCGCCCGTCCTTCAAACCCACGGGCCGGTGCCGTCCCCTATCCGCGCGGCGCGCTTTTCTCCTTGTGCTGAAATGCAGACCGTATAAATAGTTCATCAATAAGAAGAGCTTTGTTAGCATGTTTTTAAATCACCTACTTCTATTAATAAGCCATATTTTCAGTTCTTGATATAGCCCCTCTTTGAATATGTTCTAAAAATCTCCTGGTAAGCTTTCCCACGACTTTGCTTATCAGCGGGTCCATAGAACGCGCCGTACGCACAACAGCGTTTTTTGCACGTGCGTATAGTACGCCGTGCCGTGTAATGTGCCGTGCGTCATAGTACGCGTGCGTGCGTGTATGTATGAGTGGCGATATAGTACGCGTGCGTGTATGTGCGTGGGCGTATAAGTATGGCGTGGCGTGGCGTGTATGTGCGTGCGTATAGTAGCGCGTACGTGTATGTCGCGGCGTACTGTATGCGTGCGTGCGTGTATGTGCGTGGCGTATCAGTCGCGCGTGCGTGTATTGCGTGTGCGCGTGGTTTTAATTGTGCGTGTTGCCGCTGCTGTTTTATGTGTGGGCGTACGCACGTTGCCTGGTGGTAGCAGATGCCGTCCTAATATGCTCCAGCAAACACATCCTGGGTGTCGGAAGGTTCGAAGAAAAATTATTATTGCCCTAGCATTTCGTAAAGAATTTACTGTCCATTTGAGCCACCATACAGGGCGCGTGTGTATGCGCGCGCGTGCGTGTTTTTTTCACGTATTCTGTGTGTGTGGGAAGGGGGTGAAAACCGTCCAATTCATTACTGAATTGGAAAAATAGCTGGGCATGTAGCCTGTATAATTGTTAATTCTTTTTAGTCAGCGCTAAAATGCTGCTCTCTCATGCATTCTCATTCTGGTCCTAAAAATCGGCCTTTTCATATTTTTATCTTAGCAATCACGGTCTCCCATACTTTTATTAGAAGGGATACAAAAATTCTACTAGATACAATAATGTAACCCAACAAGAGTTGGGGGTAGTAGTAATGTAACCCTACTCTTGCTGGGTTACATAATTGTATTTAGCGGTTTTTCTCCGAGAGGCTCCTCATATCACCCATGCATGCATAGAATAGCACAGATCCATATATATATATATA